CTGCCAGACCATCCCATGAGCTTATTCCTTTCCTTTTACTACTTGTCAGGTCATCTTTGCCAGGAAAACAGTGGTCAGATCAGACCTTAACACACATTCACACCTGCCAATAACACTGCTAGATCCAGATCCTCTGAAAGAGAAACAGTAAAAGCTAAACATATATCCCGTTAAGCCCCCATAAAATGATAGCTATAGCTACCCATGAGCAGGGCCTCCGAAGCTCTTTATTTCCCCACAAGGAGAACATCAATTTCTTCTAGTGTTTTCTAAGAGCAAGGCCTTGATACAGTGCACTTACTCAGATATGCCCAGCTATCCATATCTCCCAGCAAGGAAGTATATGCACTAAACTCTTCACTCTAACCAATGAAGATAATATCATTAGAAACTTGTTAACATGGCCAAAATAAAAAGTAGTGATAATACCAAACACTGGCAAGCATATGGAGAATTTGGATTACTCAAACATTGCTAGTGAGATGGTTAAACAGTATAGCCATTCTGGAAATGAATGTGACACTTGTTTATAAAAACTAAACACATGTTTACTCAGCAGTCACAGCCTTAAGCACATATCCCAGAGAAATGAAAACTTTATGTTCATACAAAAACCTGTATACAAATGTTTCTAGAAGCTTTACTTGTAGTAACCAAAAGGTAGTAACAACCTGAATGTCCTTTGATGGATGAATGGTTTAGGAAACTGGGGTGCATGCATAGCATAGAATACTGCTCAGCAATAAAAGTAGTATCAACTAAACAACTTGGACGAGACTTGAGGAAATGGTGCTGAATGAAAAAAAGGCAATTTTGTGATTTTTTTTATAAAACATTCTTGAAATGACAAAATTATAAGAACAAAGAATAGATTATTGATTGCCAGATGTTAGCAGAGAAAAAGAGGGAGGGAGTTGGCTGTGGCTACAAAAAGATAGCACAAGGCACACCTGTGATGGTACTGTTCTGTATCTTTGAGTATGGTAGCATTCAGATGAGATGAATTTACATGTGATAAAACTGTACAGATGTAAACACGCACATACACACATCAAAAAGTAAATGTAACACTGGTGAAATATGAATAAGGGCAGCACTACCAGAAATACAAGGTTGGTTTAAGAATAAAAAACAAAACAAAACAAAATGTAATTTGTGATATTAAAAGACTAAAATAGAAAAAAATGTCTAATCTCAAAAGGTGCCAAAAATAAGTTTGACAAATCCAACATTTATTCCCAATAAAAATTCTCACCAGACAAGGAGTAGAAGAGAACTCTGTCAAACCATAAAAATAACTTAAATCTCACTTAGGAACATATTCACAAGATCAAGAACAAGGAAAGGGTGTCCACTCTCATCATTTAAAGTAAACATTGCACTAGATGGTTTCATCTGTGTAATAAGTCAAGAAAAAGAATTTGAAGACATACTAAATGAAAAGAAAGAAGTAAAACTAAAGCTACCAACACTGGGTTTTGCAAGGTTACATGATACTAAATCACTATACATAAATCAATTGTATTTCTATGTACCATCAACAAACAATTGAAAATTGAAATTTTAAAAACAGCATTAAAATGGAAATACTTAAGGATGAATCTGTCAAGAGATATTTAATAACTATATACCAAAAACTACAAAACAATCGACATGTTTAATAACTATATACGAAAAACTACAAAACAATTGTGACAAAAATTAAAGAAGTCTTATGCAAATGGAGAGATACATAATATTCATGTATTGGAAGACACAGTATTATTTACAAATAAATTCTCCACAAATTAAGACAGATCATGCTCCATTCCAATCAAAATCCCAGCAAGTTTTCTTTGTAAAAATTGCCAAGCCAATTCTAAAATCTATGTGGAAATGCAAATAACTAAAACAATGGGAAAAAAGAGTAACGTTGGAGGAATTACACTAAGTTAAGTCCCATTAAAAGCTATAATAATTAAAACTATGTGGTACTGGCTTAAAAAAAGACATAAAACAAGGAGTGGAAAATGAGTCCAGATTTAGGCCAGATGTGGTATCTCACAGCTGTAATCTTAGCAATCTAGGAGGCTGAAGCGCATGAACTGCTTGAGCTCAGGACTTTGAGACCAGCCAAAGCAAGAGCAAGACCCTATCTCTACTAAAAAAAATAGAAAAACTGGCCAGGCATTGTGGTGAGCACCTGTAGTCCCAGCTACTCAGGAGACTGAGGAAAGAGGATCACTTAAGTCCAGGAGTTTGAAGTTGCTATAAGCTGGATGCCATGGCACTCTACCCAGGTGACTGAGTGAGACTCTGTCTCAAAAGAAAAAGAAAAAAGTATCCAGATATAGATCCTTACACATATGTTAATCTGATTTTCCACAAAAGTACATATGCAATTAAGTAAAGTTATTCTTTTCAGTAAGTGGTGCTAGAAAAAAATGGGTATTTGTATGCCTCCCCAAAAGGACCTAAATCCAGACCTTTTCATTAAGCACAAAAGTTTACTTAAAATACAAATCTACATATAAATTAAAATTTCTAAAATTTCCAAAATTAAAAAAAGAAAATATTTGACCTCAGTTTAGACTAAAATTTCTCAATTGAAAATTAGACTTCATCAAAAATTAAAAATTTCTCTTTGAAAGATATTATCAACAAGATAAAAAGCAAGACACAGAGAAAATATTGGTAAATCACAAATCTGATAGTGGGCTTCTATATAGAATATATGAATAATTTTCAAAACTCAATGTTTAAAAAACAAGAAACCGTTTTTAAAATAGGCAAAAGATGTGAAAGATACACACCTAAAGAAGATAGATAGCAAATAAACACATGAAAAGATACTCAACATCAGCAATTTAACAACTGTCATTTAAAACCACAGTAAAATGCCACTCACTACACAGCTATCAGGATGTCTAAAATTAAAGTAATAGCAAAGTCATGTATTGACAAAGACATGAAGGACCTGGAACTTTCATACACTGGCTGGATGGGAATGTGAAGTGATGCAGACACTTTTAGAAAAGTGTGTGGATTTCTAAAATGTTTAATATACATTATATCATATAATCCAGCCATTCCAATCTCAGGTATTTATCCAAAAGAATGAAAATCAGTATGTACACACAAAAACCTGTATGTTCAAAACAGCTTTATTTGTATTTGTCAAAAACTAAAAACAACCTAAATGTCTTTCAGTAGGTCAACGGTTAAATAAAGTATGTTACAGCCACAAGAAGGAATACTACTCAGCATTAAAAATAAATGAACTATTGATACATACATTATGGATAAAATTTGAAATAATTATGCTGGGTGAAGAATCCAACCGTACTCTGTATTAAGTCCATTTATATAAATTCCAGAAAATGCAGGCAAATCTAATCATAGAAAGCTGATCAGTGGCTGCCTGGCTATAGGGGAGGACAGTAAGGCAGGGAGGGGTGGGAAGTAAAGATTACAGTGAGACACAAGCAACTTTTAGACATGAAAGATATGGTCATTATTTTGGTTGTGGCAATGGTTTGTTTCATGAGTGTTGGAACTTACCAAATTTCACACATTAAGTATGTGCACTTTTTACACCTTCATAATATGCCTGTTTATATCCCTTATTATATTTTATTATATATAATATATATTAATATTTCTGATTATAACTTATATAATAAAATTATTTTTTAAAAAGACAAAAGTACTTAGTTTGCTATAAGGTACAAAATCAACTATATAGTTATATTTAGAAGCAAAAAACAATAAAAAAATAAAATGCCAAGAATACTGAAAATAAATTTAGAAAGATAAATCAGGCAAAAATTTATCCTTGTCTTCTAAGTTCATGTCAAATTAATTCCAGCTGCATAAAAGCCCTAAATGTTTCCAGAATGTATATGGAATTTCTATAAAGCACTAATAAAAAGAAACCAGCCCAATGAAAGTAGGCAAGCACACTAACAGTCAAATCACAGAAGCAGAAATATCAAGGGCCACACAACATGAAAAGATGCTCATGCTGACTGATAAACAACGTAAAACTCCCTTTGAGATTTCTTTCACCTCATGCCAAATAGATGGATAAGAAAAGTCTGACAAAACCAAATGTTGGTGAGGTTGTGGAACAGGAACTCTAAATATACTGCAGCTGGGAGCATAAACTGGCAAAACTGCTTCCAAACACAATTAGGCATAATTTAAACAAGTTGAAGGTATGCATGTCTGTGAACCAGCTACTATACTCCTAGGTATATATGTTATGAGGAAATCTTGCACATGTTCTCAAGGAGGTATATAAGAATACGCAGCAGTATTATTGAATGGCCAAAATTTGGAACAAAAATACTATATGCAAAGAAGTTTACAAACATGCAACACAATGCTTTATATGATTGAAGAACTCACAGGGTATTACAAAAAGATAAAGGCAGTCATGGAATGCTAACTTGGAACCTGGAAGTGGAGTAGCAGAACACAGACAGGGAAGGTAAAAGGCTGTCACCTAATTTTCTAAAGTACACTTAGGCTGTAGGGCTGGGACAACACTACTCACTGCATAATTCTTCATGCTTTGTATCTTTTACATCATAAAAGAAACAAAGTCACTGGAATTTATGGGATAGATCTGATGCACAAAAAAGTTACCATGTGAAGAATAGAAACTGAAAAGTTATCTAGTAGGGACAGGAGGCTTAGTCTTAAAGGCCAGGTGCTATTTTGAAGATCAGGCTAACCACAGAGCCAAAGAACAGGGAAATCCTAAACATACTTGAGAAGGGATCCCAAGTGAGAGCAATGAGGCTCCCTGATGGAGGAAAGAGATGGGATGCCAGGCACGCCCTCTCTTAGCATTAAGTGTGTGGTATGGAAGGCAGGCAGTGCCAAGCAGTCTTTACCAGTGGCCTAGGAGGCCTGGAAAAGAACTTCTTCCAAGCATCTCAAAGTTGGCCCTCCTTTCTTAACTGCTGAGCTTCTCATTGCTCTGTGCCCTCCTCTACCCAGGGCTTCCCACTCACCTAGATAAAGGTCCAGATGACATTCATTCTCCTCTCTCCAGGGCTCGTCCCCTTGCTCCAGCTGTATGATGAGTTTTGGTTTGGAAAATGCAATTCCTACTCACAAGAAAAAAAAAATAAATGAAGGTGACCTCAGGTTACTGATTTAAGAGGCTATCACAGAACTCCCAAACCAGGGAATGCAATAAACACAGATGGTGGTAAGGAAGTACAGAGGTAAGGTGGGGTGGGGTAAAGGATGTCTGAATGCTGAGAAAAGATAAATAAGGGGAGGAGCCCCTGGATCTAAAGGCAATACATGATTCTACCCTGTGCTTGAGTGAGTAAAAATATCCCCCCACTTGAAGCAAGATAACTTTAAAGGATCAGTCCAGCCTAGAAGAAGAGAGCTAGAAATGCAACATCCCACACCACACACGCACACATACACACACTACACACATACATACATGTGCACACATAAAAGTTTGCTACAAAATCCAGACATTCTTTGGAGGATACGGGAAAAACTCTCGATCAGAAGCCCAGCAACTGTTATGTAAAAGCTTAAGATGCCCTCAGGCAGAGTCCAAGACCTAAAACAGGCCAGCTTTACCCAGTGAAACCAGGTGGCTGTAGTTCTCCAGCATCACCTCCCTATACAAGCTCCTCTGAGCAGGACTCAATAGCTTCCATTCCTTCAGTGTGAAGGCCACAGCCACATCCCGGAATGCCATTAACACCTGTAACACAAACACTTACCCTGCTTACTCAAGAGCCAGCCATGCCCACTAATCAACTTAAGTCACTAACTATGGCCAAGGCAGTAAAAAGGCAGTCCTAGAGCACCCAGATGAAATTTAGAGATCCTGCTTTTAAACTTTTGTAGTTGTTCTATATGTTCACAACTATTAATCCCTTCATACATTGATCCTGTTCTATTTTTCAGTTCTCTCTTTTGTTCCACTGATCTATGTCTATGATGTCAAAAAACACAGAGATTTGGTTACTACAGCTATATAGTAAGACGTGAACTCAGGTAAACTGATTCTTTCCTCTTTAGTCTTCATTTTAAAAGTTGATTTAGTGACTCTAAAATAGTGCCTATACCTTTCTATGCAAATTTCTTCTCCAAAAGCCATCACATCACATCGAAACTGTTCCTCTGGAGGAACAAAGGACTTACTGTGAGTATTACTGCTCAGTGATACACAGCAGTATGCCTACCAAAGTTTTCAGGAAGCTGCAAGAATGGCAGCCAAGTACAGGACTGTGGAGGACAATCTTCACCATGAGAATGCACCCCCCCACACAGCCAACATCACCATATAGTTCCTGGAGTTCAGAGGTTAAACTGAGTCATCCATCCAATAGTCTTGACCTATCCCCCATGTGATTATTTCCTCCTCCCTATGGTCAATAGTCACATGTATGGGAGAAGGTTCTCTAGGCCAAGAAGCTGTTCATGCCTATGAAAGTAAACTTATGGCTTACTTTATTTTTGCCTATGAAATTACCTTCACTAGTGTTTTTCTTATGTTCTAGAGTTTCCGTCTAGGATTCTTTCATTTTAGCCTGAAGTATTTTTTGTAGGGAAGATCTGTTAATAAACTACCTCAACTTTTGTTTATCTAGAAATGTCTTAATTTTGCCTTCATTCTTGAAACTTAGTCTTGCACATTTCTCTCATGCACATTTTCTCTCAAAGGCACAACAGATTTGACAAATGAGTCAAATTTACTGTTACTGTAATGTTACTGTTCTCAATAACATTCTGATAACATCAAATCCAATCATTTTTAACTATTCCAGGAATTTGCAAATATCTATCATGAACCTAAGAATATGATTATATCAAAAACATTCCACACTTGACATATTTATAGCACAGTCAAAGCAAAACTGAATCAGCAAAGGTGACAATAAATATTCTGTGTACTTGGTACAATCAATGCAAAAGTACCCTGCCTGGCAGCTGTTTAGATTATTAATAAATGTTAATTCCATTCAATCACATCAAGTTCACATGTTGCCCAGCCAGTGGGGAATGATCTTCAGAAAAGCAGGGAATATGGACCTTTAAATGTAATCTTTCTATTTTTAAGTACAGAAAACTCACTTAAATATAAAGCATGGGGCCTGCAAAACTAAATCTATCCATGCACTACACACAGACAGCAGATCAGCATCCTTACCTCTACACAGAGAAAACTAATGTGGCCAGAGACCACTGTCTGCTGCAAGCTTCCTAAATGGTGAGGGGCCTACCAGTCACCTGGTCTTCTGAAATGGGCTAGACTTCCTGAGGCATTCCCACAGCAGTGTCTTCCCCCCCTAAATTTTCAACTTGCCAAATCCTTCAGGGGCAACTCAGACACTCCTTAAAAAGCCTTCCTATCCTTTTTAGGCACTGGGAATCACCAAACACATAAGCATGGTTTTTTTTTTTTTAATTTTTATTTTAACTGCCCAGAACATGATGATCACACTTAACTACTTGGTTAATCAGGAAAGGAGCAGAGACATCTGAGATCCAGTAAGGATCTGGTCCAGGTAAGGTGGGTCACACCTCCAAGATCAGAGACAGGGTTTGCCAAACACCTAGAAGGCAGCCTCTAGGACAAGAAAAAATAGTAAGTCTGTCCTGCAAGAAGTAGGAAAATATTTCAGGACTCACCTCTTCCCTGGTTGTCAGGAGCCCTGGGGCCATATTCCTGCTCTCCTGAGTGTTCTTCCTAGAGAAGAATCAAGTTGCAGAGGCAGATCTGGGGAAAGAGATGAGAAGTGAGAGAAGTACTTGGAATGTATGCCCTTCACATTCTGTCCAGCCTCCCCATTCAGTAGCAAGTAGGGGAAAGAGGAGGTAAGAAGGGAAAGTCACAGAGGGTATCACACAAACCATTCTTAGCTAATGTTCTATAATAAAGTCTACAGATCTGGGTCAGCAGCAAGCTCAGACTCCAGATCTTGGTGGGAAATAAAACCTCCATCTTACAGCTGCTGGGTGAGACTTTGTGCTGGTCTACAATAAGGGGAAAAGGCCTAAGAGTGCCCTGAGGTGAGCATTCATACTGAAAAATAATGGCCCATATTGAAAACAAAGCACCTCATTCACATCCTTCCTGAGACCAAAGAACAAAGAATCCAGGAAATTCCAAGTAGAAGGAGCTCTGGAGGACTCCAGAGAAATACAGGTTTTGAGGGAGACATTAAGCGTATGGAATCCATAACCTGTGTTTCCTTTCATGTGACCTGGCTGCACCATTCCATCCACTCACATATCCAAGATTAGGTTTCCAAGATTTGAAATGTGACTTGGAATTTAGGATTAGGCAGTCTGCAATTGACCAAGGTCTAAACTAGAACAAGCAAATTTCATGAAGAGATTTTTTGTTATTTGTTTGTTTGTTTTGCAGTTTTTGGCCAGGGCCGGGTTCAAACCCACCACCTCTGGTATATGGGGCCAGCACCCTACTCCTTTGAGCCACAGGCACTGCCCACATGAAGAGATTTTTTAAAAAGGAGAATAAAAGAGATTTTTCCTTAATAAACAGATATTTAAGAGATAAACCATTCCTCAGATGACATATGTAGGCCTCAATAGGATCCTGTCTTGTGCAAATGAATGTGTAAAGAGAACTACAAAGGACAGGTCAATATAAACCAGGTATGAGATGACGTAAGAGAGTTATTGTAAATAATGTTAGGTATGATCATGACATCCTGGACATAGAGGAAAGCAGTCATTATTAAGAAATGATACAAAAGTTCTGAGAGGTGAATTAACACACTTGCAACTTTTTTAAATGCAAAGCCTTCAACAAATGAATAACAATAGAAAAATACAAAAGTTCTTATGGAATAAAAACAGAATTAAGAGATAGAAATCAAATGCAATGTGTAAACCTTATTTAGACATTTTTCAGGCAATCAAGGAAATCTGAACACTGACAGGATATCAGGTGGCATTGAAGAATTAATATTAATTTTATTAAGCTTAGGTTAAAAATGGCCTAGATGATGCCTACAAATAATTGAGGCCATGCTTAAATAAAAGACGATGTAGAATTTATAAGTAATATAGTATTTAATGGTGAGAAACTTGACTCTTTGCCCCTAAGATAAGGGTCCTAGCTCAGAAGACAAGAAAAGGAAATAAAAGGTATACAGATTGGGATGAAAGAAATAAAGCCATCTTTGTCTGCAGATTACATGATTGTCTCTGTAGAAAATGCCAAAGAACCAACAAAGAAACTCTTGGAACAAAGTGATTATGAGACGATTGTAGGAAACAAGGTTAGTATTAAAAAATCAATTACTTTCCTATATACCAGCAAGGAACAGTTGGAATTTGAAATTAAAAACACTACATTTATATTAGCACCTCCTACAAAGTAATAATTGGTATAAATCTAAAAAATCTTTACAAGCTCTCTATAAAGAAAACCAAAAAACTCTGCTAAAAGAAATCAAAGATTATCTAAATAAATGGAGACATACTCTGTATCATGGCTAAGAAGACTCAATACTGTTAAGATGTCAGTTCTTCCTAACTTGAGCTACAGATTCAAAGAAATCCCCATAAAAATCTCTGGAAATTACTTTGCAAATACCAAAAAACTGATTCTAAAATTTATATGGAAAAGCAAAAGATATAGAAGAGTAAATACAATATCGAAGAAGCACAAAATCAGAAGACTAACATTTCTAGTCTTCAGGACTTACTATGAAGCAACAGTAATCAAGCCAGTGTGGTATTGGAGAAAAAAACAAATAGATTAATGGAGAGAGCCTAGAAACAAACACATCCACACAAATCAAGTCAACTGATCACTGACAAAGAACAAAGGAAATTCAGTTAAGAAAGGACAGTCATTAAAATAAATACCTTTCATAAAAATTAACTCAAAATGTATCACAGACCTAGAGGTAAAACACAAAACTATAAAACGCCTGGTAGATACCAGAGGAGAAAATATAGGTGACCATGGGTTTTTATTGTTGTTGTTTTGGGTTTTCTTTCTTTCTTTTCTTTTTTATTAAATCATAAACACATAGATCATGTATACATTAATGCATTTATGGGGTACATTGTGCTGATTTCATGTAGAATAAGGAATGCTTACATCACAATGGTTAATATATACCTCATCTCGTTTACTTAGTTATTGTGTTAAGACATTTATACTCTATACTAATAGATCCAACATGTACCCTTGCATTATGCACCATAGGTATGATCCCACCATTCACCCTCCCTTGATCTGACCTCCTCCCTCCCCTCCCATAGCCCCCTCTTCCCTCCTTCATCTTGGGCCATAGTTGTGATCTATTCTTCATATGAAAGTGTGAGTGACTGTAAATTGGTTTCATTATAGTGCTGAGTACACTGAATATTTTTTCTTCCATTCTTGAGATACTTTACTAAGTAGGATATGTTCCAGCGCCATCCATGTAAATGTAAAAGAGGTAAAGTCTCCATCTTTTTTAAGGCTGCATAATATTCCGTGGTATGGATCTATGTGTATATGACTTACTAAAAAACAAAGAAAAAATTCCATGGTGTATATATACCACAATTTATTAATCCATTCGTGGGTCATGGGCTTCTTCCATGACTTGGCTATTATGAATTGAGCTGCAATGAACCATCTGATGCAAATATCTTTGTTATAAAGTGATTTCTGGTCTTTTGGATATACACCTAGTAGAGGAATTGCAGGCTCAAACGGCAGGTCTACTTTTATATCCCTGAGTATTCTCCCTGCTTCTTTCCAAAAGGGATGTATTAGCTTGTATTCCCACCAGCAGGGCAGAAGTGTTCCCTTTTCTCCACATCCACACCAACATCTGTAGTTTTGAGTGACCATAGGTTTTACCATGACTTTTGAGATACAATACCAAAAGCACAATTGATGAAAGAAAAAGTTAATAAATTGGGTTTCATTAAAATTACAAACTTCGGCTCTAGAAAAGACACTGATATGTACTAAAAATATAAGCCACAAACTAGGAGAAAGTACACCAAGAAAAAAATGACAAAATGGATGAATGCATAATCATGGTTAAGAAAATTTACTACACTCAGTTGATAAAAACGCAAAAAATTAACCATAAATCAGTAAAGATACAGAAGATTTGAAAAGCCTTCTCAGGTAATATTGATCTAATAGACATTTACAGAAGACTAAACCCAGCAAGTACAGAATACTTACTCTTTTTAGGTGCACATAGAATAATCACCAAAGTAGATAAAATGCTGAGGCATATAAAACAAGTTTCCCATTTCAAAGGACTAAAATTTGAAGAGAGAACAGATGGTCCCAACTTACAACACTTCAACTTAGAAATTTTCAACTTTACAATGGTATAAAAGTGACACATATTGAACAGAAACCACACTTTGAATTTTGATCTTTCCCAGAACTAGCAAGATGTGATATAATACTCTTACAATGCCAGGCAGCAAGTGGCAGATGAGCACAGCTCCCTGTCAACTATGCAATCATGAGGGTAAACAACTGATATTCTACTGTGTTTCTGGATGATTTTGCCCAACTATAGGCTAATATAAATGCTCTGAACATGTTTAAGTTGCGCAAGGCTAAGCTGCAATGTTCAGCAGGTTAGGTATAATAAATGCATTTTATTCAACTAAAATGGTATTTTCAACTTATAATGGGTTTATTAGGATGTACTCCCATTGTAAGTCAAGGAACACGTATATGTTCTTTGCCCAAAATGGAACTAAATTAGAAAACAATAATAAGTTACTTGAAAAAAAAACCCTTATAATTATATATGGAATCAAAAGTTCCAGAGAGAAGACTATGTGAAGAAATGCCAAGGGACATAAGGAAATATTTTGAAGTCAATGATTTTAATAAACACAACATATCAATACATATCACAACTTAGCAAATTTTTGATATGAAGCTATTATAGGCTGAATTGTTCCCCAACCCCGTATGTTAATCCTAACATTTAGTACCTTAGAATGTGACTTATTTGGAGGTAGGGTCTTAAAAGAGGTAACTGACTAAAAATGAAGTCATTACAGTAGACCCTAATCCAATATGAATGGTGTCCTAATAAGAGAAAATCTGAATATAGAAAGTCCCAAAGGGAAGACCATGTGAAGACACAGAGAAAATGACCAAGGAGAGGGGCGTCAGAAGAAACCAGCATTGCTGAGACCTTAATCTTGGACTTCTTATATCCAGAATTATTAAGAAACAATGTTGCTGCTTAAGCTATCATTCTGTGATATTTTGTTATGGCAGCCCTGGCAAACTAAATACAGCAACTAATACTGTTACAGCTTTAAAAAGTTACAGCTTTAAATGAATGCAGTAAAAAAAAGTTTTAGTTAAAAATAAATCAGCTCCATCCTTAAGAAGCTAAAAAAAGGAAGTAATAAAAAGGAAAAATCAATCAAATAGAAATGAAACAATAAAGAATGTTGAAAAGTCAAAGGTTGATTATTTGCAAATATTAAAATGCTAAAATTGCTAAATTTCAGATGTGAAATTATAAAACTCATAGAAGACAACATATAGGAAAGCTTCCTGACATTAGTCCTACCAATGATTCCTTAGATATGACACCAAAAGCACAGACAACAAATGCAGAAAGGGACAAATGAGACTATGTCAAACTTAAAACTTACTTGCAGCAAAGAAAACAATGAACAGTGAAAAGGCAGCCTACAGACTAGGAGAAAATATCTGGGGTTAACATGTAGAAGAATTAAAAAACTTATAACTCAATAATAAAAAAAATTAAAAATGGGCATTAAGACTTGAATAGACATTTCTCTGAAGAAAATAAACAAATGGTAGAAAAGCACATCTATACATATGTATAAGAAGAACATGTTCAACATAATTAATTATTAGGAAAATGCAAATCAAAAACATAATGAGTTATCATCTCACCCCCCCAAGTATATGGCCATTATAAAAAATGAATCAATAACAAGTGTTGACAAGGATGTGGAAAAATTGGAACCCTATAGTACACTGTTGGTGAGATTGTAAAATGGTATAGTCACTATGGAAAACATTAGTGGTTCTTCAAAAATTTAAAACAGTTCTATCATATGATCGTGTAATACTACTTCTGGGTATAAAGCCAAAGGAACTCAACAAGAATCTTGAAGAGATATCTACACACCCGTATGCATTACAGCATTATTTCAAAATATCGAAGATGTGGAAGCAACCTAAATGTCCATCAGCATATGAACAAGTAAGGAAAAAGTAGTCTTGCCATACATGACTATCACTCAGTCTTAACAAGGAAGGAAATCCTGGCACATGCTACAACAATGATGAAGCTTAAGGACATTATGCTAAGTGAAAAACAAGCAGTCTCTGGGTTACAAACAAGGTAGCTCCTGTAAGTTTCCTCTTAAATTGAATTAGTACGTAAGTTGGAACAGGTATATTTACTTATTACGTAGCCTCCATTTGTAAGTGCAAGTCCCATGTCAGTTAGATGTTTATAACTCAGAGACTTACTGAAATAGCCTCTGTTCATAAGTGCAAGTTATACATAAGTCAAATGTTTGTAACTCAGGGACTGCCTGGAAGCCAGTAAAAAAAAAAATTTCCATAATCCCATCAATATGAGGTACTAAAGTAACCAAACTTGTAAAAACAGAACAAAGAATCGTGGTTGCCAAGGGATAGAGGAAGGGGACTACAGAGAGTTGCTATTCAGTGCTTAAAAAATTTCAATCTTGCAAGACAAAAAACTTCTAGAGATGTGGTATACATAGTTAACAATATATCCAGTACACTTAAAAATTGTTAAGAGGGTGAGCAGCGCCTATGGCTTAGTGGGTAGAGCACCAGCCCCATATACCAAGGGTGGCGGGTTCGAACCTGGCCCCGACCAACTATAACAGCAATGAAAATTGCAACAAAAAATAGCCAAACATTGTGGCAGGCGCCTGTGGTTCCAGCTACTCAGGAGGTTGAGGCAAGAGAATCACTTAAGCCCAAGAGTTGGAGGTTGCTGTGAGCTGTGATGCTATAGCACTCTATTAAGGTGACAAAGTGAGACTCTGTCTCAAAAAAAAAAAAAAAAAAGGAAAAGAAAAATTTGTAAGAGGGTAAATACAAGTTGTGTTTTTTGTCATAATAAAAGAGAGTCAAGACAAAGTAGTACAGAGATACAAAGGGATGTTTCATAATAACAATGTAGTCAATTCATCAGGAAGATATAACAAAAATGTGTATGTACCTTATAACAATAGTACTTCAAAATACAGTAGAACCTCCATAATTAACCACCTCCCTGAACTGACCACCTCCTTAAGTTGACATCAGACATGTACCACATGTATGTTATCAGCACCAGTAGGCCTCGTTCCTTATGTTGACCACCTCCATATGCTGACCATTTTTTTACAGTCCCTTGGGTGGTCAACTTACAGAGGTTCTACTGTACATAATGCAAAAACTGCATAATTCAATGGAGAAACAGACAATTCCATTATCCTAGTTGGGGAATTTAATACCCTGTCACAGCAATTGTTAAAATAACTAGACAAAAATATCAATAAGGCCCAGACACAGTGACTCACATCTATAATCACAGTGCTTGGAAGGCTGAGACATAGAATCATTTGAGGCCAGGAATTTAAGATCAGCCTGGACAGCAGGTTGAGACTCCATCTCTACAAAAAAATTTAAAATTAGCCCAATGTGGTGGCATATGCATTGTCCTAGCTATTCAAGAGGTTGAAACAGGAGGATGGCTTAAACCCAGAAGTTCAAGGTTAGTGTGAGCTATGATCATGCCAGAGTGATGTCTTTTGAAAAAAGAAAAAAAAGTTCAGTACTGAAATTAAACATCTGAAAATAACAGCCAACTGGACCAAACTGATATTAGAATATCACTCCACAACAGCAGACTATACATTCTTTTCAAGGGCCCATGGTACATTCAAAGACATTGGGTTGTGAATAAATTTGCAAGGACTGATGATGTTCTTTGGCCTGAATGGAATTAAGTAAATGATTAACAATAAGATATCTAGAAAACTCCCATTTGGGAATTGAATAGAAAATGGGCAGAGAGGAATCTGATTCATCAAGTGCAGACAATTTTCACTGTTAAAGGGACCAGAGAGAGATGGGATAATGACTGAAGGAAAAAATCATGGCCCTGCTCTGTCAAAACCCTACAGTGGGTCTCACAGACCACAGAGTAAGATCCATCCTTTCTATCAAGGTATCCAAAGCTTTCCCCAATAATAGTCCAACCTCCTTTCCCCACCTGAGTTTCCATAACTTCCCCATGAACTTCCCTTCCCAGGCAAAAAGAACAATTCCTCATATTCTCATACTCACTCACTCCCACAGTCCAGCTGTGTGCCAAGCACTGTTAGTGATCTAGGGTGCCAGATAAGTTGTTGCCTGTCCCTGAAGAACTATCTTAGCCAGTGGGACTGTCAAACAGTTTGAATACATCATGCAAGCAATGGACTCCTCCTGTATAAAACGCTCTGTGACTAAAGTGGACAGTGGAAGTAATTCCACCAGTGAAAACTCAGGAATGCTCTGTAGTAGACAAATTGTTGTAGCAAGGCATCTTTTGAGACAAAGGGGGAAACACCATGAATACTAAATGAGATTAAAGAAATTGTGTTAATTTTGTTGAGTATGATAATATCAGGATTATTTAATCTTATTTACAAGAGGTGCATACCGAAGTATTTACAGATGAAACGATGCCACATTTGGGATTTGTTTTAAAACAGTACTTCCATAGACAAGTGGCACACCCAAGTTTTGCTTCATACCCAATTCACAACAGCTCCATGAGGTTAAGTACCTTGCTCAAAGTGACAGAAAGAGGCAGACTTGGACTCGAACTCACCCTGTGGAGGGCCTAGAGAAAGAGACTATTCCAAAGAGAACCAAATTTGAAGTTATCAATTTGGAAGAGAAAAGATGGGTTACTCATAAGTGGTGAATGTGAGTGATGAATCCATGCAACTTCACAGCTACTTTGGGGTATGTTTGCACTGTTTTCATACCAAAAAGGTAGAAATCAGAACATTAAGTTTGGACACCTTGTGCCCCACAATCTCCTCCATGCCCAGAAATTCAGGGAGTCAGTCAACAGGCTCCTAGGCTTGGGAAAAGTTCCCAGGCACCATTCTACTTGCTCCCCCACCATGCTCCTGAAAGGGTTCACTAGGATGCCTCATAACACCCAGGGATATCAGTCCCCTGTCCAGCTCACCTCAACCCACCAAGGTGCCACAGGACCGCAGGCCCCAAGGCCACTGACCTGAGTGGCACATCCCTATCTGTTCCCCCACCAATAAAACCAAGTCCTCATGTTTGACACAAAACAATCCTCCCTCACAAACCCTGGTCCCAGTGGACAAGCTCCACCTTCACTATCACAGTACGCCATCCTGCCACGCAACCCCAAAAACCCAATTAATGCTCAAGCGTGTGCCCCTCACCAACAGGAATGTTTGCTCCAACCGAAGATGTGTATGGGTGTATCACCCACCTCAAAGGCACACTGACCCAGCCATCTCCTGGTCTCAATGACGAGGTGGGAGTGGTGAGATGTTATCTGGGTGCCCCAAGCAGAATCCACGCTACATCTCCCAAAGGCCTGGGGACTCGCCTGAGAAGTAGCCTGGGAGGTAGGCCTAGGCCAGCCCCGACCACTGCAGTATAGGATACAGTGCCCAAAGCGCCATAAGGAAAGAAAGCCACAACGCCTTCTTCCCATCCGAGGACCTCTGCAGGTATCTCTCCCCCAAGTGGACCCCACGCGCCCAGACCCCATACCCCAAAATCAAACATCAAGTAATATGCCCCAGCGGAAGAGACATGTAGACCTCTCCCCACATGTCTCTTCCGCGTCCCCGTCAGCTTTCCCAGTCTTTCTTCCCCGGGGGAAGGGACACATTCGCTCACCAGAAGTGCAGAAGAACGCTAACCACGCTCCAGGAGGCGATGGCTGGACGCAGAAATACCCCGGCTCACACTGCCCCAGGGTGCGTAACTACACTACCCAAACTGCCCGGGGGCGCACGACTACCCTACCTTGAATGCCCTGGAGCGAGGGACCACATTACCCAGAATGCGCGGGGAATCGAGACTACATCACCCAGAATGCCGCCAGAGGTTGGACCACAATGTCCAGCCTTCTCACCCCTTGACCCTTAGGTTCAGGCAACACGATCTAGTTCTCCTTCCCTGCAGCTCCCCCCGCGGTCTCCTAACTGGATAACAGTTGCTTAGGCTCTTGGAGAAATTGTGGAAAATCGGAAAGTAATATCAAGCTAACTTTCAGATCATGAAAAGGGTGGTTAAGGTGAGCCTTAAGCTACTCCTCTCCCCCTTCCTTAAACTTATTTGGACCTTGTAATTTTAATTTACTTTTTAAAAAAGATGTTAGTTACCTGGATGTTAACTTGTTCTCCATCGTGCAAATTCACCTTTGTGTTTTTACACCCTTGTGTTTTAAATGACAGTGTGCATGAATGTGATTTTTAAAATGCCAAAAGTAGTGACTTTTCTTCTTTCATAAAGTTGGTCTGGAATTTTTAAAAAATTGATCACAGAAAGAAGATGGGGCAAAACTAAATCTAAATAATTAAAATTATTTTACTGTCAGGCCTGGTGTCTGATGCCTATAAAACTAACTCTTACTGGCGGCTGAGGATGGAGGATAAGCTCAGGAGTTTGAGGTTGCAGTCAGCTATGATGAGGTCACTGCACACTGCACTTCATCCCAGGTGACAGAGTGAGACTGTCTTAAAAATAAATTGTTTTTTTACTAATACAAAAATTATTTAATGGATGTAACAGAATAGAAAGCTCAGAAACAAACCAAAGTCTTTGCCAAGAGAAACACACTTTTCTAGAAATTTGACAAAAAGTGCTATTTTCAAGTTATTTCTTATCTACTTAAAAATGAAGTAGCAGGGACTAGATTTAGCCTTTCACTTCAACCAACACTAAAAAGAATAAAATATGTGAAGCAACAGATTTGAAAATATTGGCCATCAGAGGATGAAGGGGAGTGATCTCTGAGACATATAAGTAGTGAACAAGGGGAGCCTCTAAACTTCCCCAGGGAAAGATAATTTCCAAGTCACAGTACTGAAAAGAGAAACCCAAAGACAGCTTGGAGTTCTACTTGAACTGAGGAGATGAAGCTTGGAATCTGAGGAGGCCAAGACAGCATGAGTTCACAAGGCAGAATACCAAAAAGGGGAGAGAACTCCAAAAAGGTGGAGAAATATGCAGTGTCCTCTTCCTCAAGTGTCAGCATGTGAAGAAACTCCTTAACATCAGTGGGGGAAAAAATACTGGAAGGGGTTAGGGGAAAATACGATAAGCTTAAAGAAATACTGCCTGTTCTCATGCAGTAGAAATTGTCATAATTCATATGGTATCAAGTTATGTACTCAAAAGGATTTTGCCTCAATAGTGGGGCAAAATTAATACTAAATACTTCTCTTATCTCCCCTGAGTTTAAAACCAAACCTAGTAAAGATCAAATTGTTCCCAAGTAACTTAATTGTACCCAAGATATAAGAGGAATACAAAATTATCCAGTATCCAATAAGGAAAAATTCAGGATTTCAGAATTCCAAGTTTTAAAAAGCCAGCATACAAAGAACCAGAAATGCATTGTCCAGAATGAGCAGAAAAGCAAATCAACAGAAATAACACAGAAATAGCACAGATAATAGAAATAAAAGATCAGGAACGAAAACATTTATTACAACTATAATCCATATATTCAAGAAGCTACAGGAAAGATTGAACATGTAAGTAAGGCTATGAAATATATAACAGAGAATCAAATTGAACTTTTAGAAGTGGAAATTACAATGTCTGAAATGAAAAATACACCAGATGGTAGGGTCACCTTAGCTAGGATACAGTCACCAGTTGTTTGGTTAAATACTAGTCTAGGGGGAGGGATGGGAAGGAGGAGGGGATGGAAAAGGTAAAGGGGAAAGGGGGAAAAAAGAAAAGAAAAGAAAGAAAAAAAAATCATTATGAAAATAATAAACCAATACATCAAAGCAGCCCAGTGAAACCCAAGCAAAAGAAACATGAAGAAAATAACACCAAGGTACACCTGCTTAAAACAAACCAGTTATAAGGCAATTTGTTTGTCTGTTTTTTGCAGATTTTGGCTAGGGACAGGTTTGAACCCACCACCTTGGGTATATGGGGCCAGCACTCTACTCCTTTTAGCCACAGGTGCAACCCATAGGAAATTTGTTTTAAAAAGCCAGAGAAGAGACATACTATGTGCTGATAAAGAAAGCAGATTTCTTGCTGTAAAAAATTCAAGGCAAAAGGAACAACATCTTTAATGAAGTGAAAGAAAACCTAGAAATCTTTACCCATTGAAAAAACAAAGGCAAAAAACCAAAACCTGAAAGAATTAATTATCAGCAGGCCTGCATTACAATAAAATATTAAAGGACACCCTTCAATAAGAAGAAAGAAAAAAGATAACAGATGGAAATAGAGATCTAGTCAAAGGAATGCAAAGCACTAGAAAGAATAAGTAAAAGCTGTGTCTCTATTGAAATTTCCCTAACACATAATTAACTGTTTAAAATAATAAGAATGTGTTGTGTTTCTACCATATATAGGAGTAAAATGTCTAACAATAATACCAAGAGATCCAGGGCCAAAATGGAAATACATTGTTGCAATTTTTTTCTACTTTATATAAATAGTATAATATCATTTAAAGGTAAATTGTGATGAGTTAAAAGATGTATACTATAAACTCAAAGATACCACTAAATTAACACAACAAACATATACCTAATAAACTGAAGACAAACAAATTTATAAAAAAATTAAATGACAAAGATTTCTGGATTATATAAAAAATAACAGGACCCAATTATGTGCCATCCATAAGAAGTCCACTTTTAATATAATACATATATAGGTTAAAAGTAAAAATATGAGAAAAGGTACAAACACTAATTTTAGAAAAAGGAGGAGGGGTTTCATTAATAGACAAAAAATATTACCAGAGACTTCAGATAAGGAGTACTACCACAGACAAAAAGAATCACCATATTCCAGGTCATAAAACAGTTACAACAAATTAAAAGAATTGAAGCCATATAAACTATGTGTTCTAACTATACACAAACTAGAATCAACATATAAAGATATCTGGAAAATCTCTAAATATTTGGAAATTAACCAATATTGTATAATACTATTCAAGAACAATATACCTCATCATTTATTCAAGTCCTTTTAAATGTCTTTTGTTGGGTTTACTATCTTTTCATATGTCATGTATATATTTCTTAAGTCTACTTTAGTTAGTTTATTTTGTTATTTTTATTGCTTAGTGAATAAGGTCTTATATGCCATTTTAAATTCTGACTATTATTAGTGAATAATAACATTGATTTTGTGTAATTTATTTTGTATCTCTTCATAACACTAAACTTAATATTTCCAGTAATTTTTAAGTGACTGCCTTCACTTTTTTCCAACTATGTGATTGTATCATCTACAAAGAATATATTTTCCTCTACCTTTAAAATATTTAAGAGTCTTTCATTTTTATTTTGGCTAACTATGTTGACTAACACTTTCAGAACAATGTCAAAGTTGCAATACCTGGAAAAAATATATGAATACACACACACTTTGATCAATATAAAAACAGGAAAACTTGTAACAAAACGTAACATAAAACAGTGATATGCTTAGCATATATAAGTTCTTATAATTCAGTGCACTAATCAATTCAATTAAAAAATGGGCAAAGGAAATGAACATGTAATTACCTTTTAAAATACTAGGAAACATACGAAACCATATTTGAGCTGGGCATAGTGGCTCACACCTATAATTCTAACTTTGGGGGAGGCTGAGGAAGGAAGATTACTTGAGGCCAGCAGGATTGAGTCCAGTTCATGCTTGCCATCTGAGCTTTCCCCTGTCTGCTCGTTATGGGAAATCATACTGACATGACTGAGTCTGTGATGAAGAGAGCAAGGGAACTATCCAATAAACTCTATTGATACCTTAAGCTTTGAAACCACAGAAGAAAGTTTAAAAAACTATCAACAATGGTGAAACTTGATTGTGTGGTAATAAGGGATCCTGTGAGCAAAGATCAAAAGGATTTAGTTTTATAACTTTGGAATCTGTGGCTGAAGCTCATGCTGCCACAGCTGTAGGATCTCATTCAATTGAAAGAACTGTTGAGTCAAAATGGGCTGTAGAAAAAGAGGAATCTTTAAAATCTGGGACTCGTGTAACTGTAAAGACTGAGAAACATCACCTTACAGATTACATTGAGAAATATGAAAAAGTTAATACCATTTGAGATGTCTACTGATAGGCAGTCTGGAAAGAAAAGAGGCATTTGCTTTGGGGTTTTTTTATTGGTGGTGGTGGTGGTGGTTTTTGAGACAGAGTCCCACTCTGTCATCCAGGTAGAGAGCCCTGGTGTCATCATATCTCACAGCAACCTCAAACTCCCAGGTTGGAGCAATCCTCTTTCCTCAGCCTCCCAAGTAGCTGAGACTATAGGCATCCACCACCACATCTCACAACTTTTTCTATTTTTTTAGTAGAGACGGGTCTTGTCCTTGCTGAGACTGGTCTTGAATTCCTGAGCTGAGCAATCTGCCTGCCTTGGCCTCCCAGAGGGCTAGGATTACAGGAATGAGCCACTGTGACAGGTTTGCTTTGTTGCTTTTGATGACCATAATCCTGTGGATTAAATTTTACTGTGGAAATACCATGCCATCAGTGGTCTTAATCCTTTGTCATGATAAGAAATGAAGGAAATCAAAGTTCCAAGAGTTATAGAAGAGACAACTTTGGTTTGGGGGATTCGTGTGGTGGCTGTGGAAATTTTGGACCAGGACCAGGAAGTAACTTTAGAGGATCTGATAGATGTGAAAGTGGCCTTGGGTTTGGGGATGGCTATAATGGGCATGG